AAAAACATGAAATGAAATAGAAAAACGACGAGTGAGCTGTAGCGGCGACGGTGTGTGGCGCGCGCACGCGTCTGCAAACGTTGTAAAAGAGGCGGTGGCTAAACGCGCGCTTTAATCCATTTTCAGTTGCACTGCCGGGTTCTTTTGACTGCCGCGGAAAGCGTTAATTGGAGGTCGCGCCGCGCGCGATCGGCGCAAAGAAAGTCCCGTAAAGCGGAAACCCGCGTGATAATGCATACCACGTCGGAAGAAGAGAAGGGGGCTCTTTCGCGCGGTGGGGAAAAGGTTATAGAATGGGATATAATATACCTTCTTTCTGGCGCACCCTCTCTCTCTCTCTCTCTCTCCGCGGTTGCGCGCGCGCGCGGCGTAAAAGCCGCGCCATCCGAAAGTACGCCACCTCTCATTTCTACTAAAAGCTATTTCTTATGAAACGCATAATCGCGTTTTCCTTAATGATGTACTATTACAAGCGCGGCTCGAGTCTGATAGAAATGAGATTTCTCGGAAGAGAAGAGACTCTTGTTTTACACACGGAAATTCATAGACGAAGTGAAACGTCGTAGTAGATGACGTCTTGTCCCCGTAAACGAGAAAGGTGTGAAAGACGACTCGACAAATATAAAATGCACGGGTTATTTATCGTTTAATTACATTTTTTGTAGCATGGATCCAACAATTGGAAATTGCACATACACGCGTGTGCACGTAAAATAACAGATTGTTCCGTGAGGATAACGTAAATTTTGCTAAAAAAACATCGTGGAAGACGAATACAACGAATTGCGTGTGTTATTTTCAATTGCAGTACGCGTTTATAACTTTTTTTTTTTACGAAAACGCACGCGCGCCAAAAATACAGCGAACGAATCTTACGATATTTTCCAGAAGCCGCTACCAGGATAAATTCGGATAAACCGTGAGTTCGGCCGACGACTGCTAGATATATGACTTGTTTGCACAGATTAGGACCGACAAAGGGGTCCGTTCTCTCCTCCTGACGTCGCCTTGATTTAAAGTGAAGCGCCCGGTATTTGCAGTAGATTAAACCGCGCTTCGCGCCGCGCACTGTACAGTGTCTTGTTTACGATATCAGCTGTAACCCGCTCCGCGTGTGTACCGCTTGTACACACACTGTGCTCACGTCCGACTTGCACAAGCAGATAGCGATTCAAACTATGCACATTCATATTAGTCAACATTTTTTTTTATTTTATACATACATTTACATGTGATATAAAATTTGCATAAACGCGCGCCAACTATATTTCTCGAGATTTTATCTTTTGCATTCGGTATCAAAATAAATTTGCAAAAAATATCTTCTCAAGAAATTTGAGTTTTTCACGTTTTCTTTTTCTCAAACTGCGTGCACACAGTAATATCAGTAGTTTTTTTTTTTTTTAATCGCGGAAAAGTGGCAATTTTTCAAATAACAACTCCGCAATTTGTCGGATTCACAACACGATAAAAAAAAAAAAAAAAAAAAAAACCTATCGTCGATGGCGCGCGATCAAAACTCTACGTGTCTAATTTGTTTGTTTTATTCTCGTTACGCGTATAAATATACATATATATCTTTTATGTTCAGTAGCTTGTAATGCGTATCGATGTTGTAATCTCGAGATAACGAGCAAACAAGCTGCGGACGATGATAAAATATTAAATGATAACTCGTGTAACTATATAATCAACGAGATTAAGTTAATAATCGTTAAGCGACGTATGTGTGTGTGTGTGTGTATGTGTATAAACTAAAAAAAAAAAAAAAAAGACTTCGCGAGGGGTACGCGAATTTGCCGCACGTCCATCGGCCACCAATGGCCCGTTAACAGACAGCAGAATTTCGTGCTCTCATCCCTTTTGGCTTTATACATTGTACGGTAAGAGAGTAATCACTTGCGCGTTCTTTTCTCTTTTCTCTCTTTTCTCGCGCGGCAGTTATCTCCCCGTTTTTATGCCGCACGAGCTTTTCAATCAACCGCGAATTTGCAAAACGAGTCCTGCCCCCTCGCCTCTTTCCCTCTTCCCTATCTCTTCCGCCAACTTCCTCGTGTGTTCCTCTCTCGCTCGAGTAATAACGGGCGTTCGGTAATCAAGCACGTTCTGGTAGACAAGAAAAAAAATTAAAAAAAAAGAAGAGAAAGGTGGTCCCCGGGTAAGACGATCGTGATTCGACCGTAGCTACGTGGGCGTTCTTCTCCCTATCCGTCGTCGATCTCGAATTATGCAAATGCCACGACGGATATTCCAATTGCCCCCGATTCCTCGTGCACGATGAAATTCGAGAACACATCGTATTCCATATACTATAACGCTCGCTCTCGCAGCAGGTATGCTCGTTTTTCAATAACGTGAAGCCACACTCTCTCCCTTCCGGCAGTGCTTAAAGGGACAAAAAAAAAAAAAAAAAACAAGAAAACAGGAAAACGCGTCAAATACCGTGGTCAAATGCGCAGTTCATCGTCAGCAATTTGACATGTCTCTCTCTCGAGAGAGAGAGAACGTTATTCACAAGATAAAAACAAACAGCAAGCAAAATTGCAACACGTACCGGTGTACTGGTTGATATCGTAAAATTGTATAAATATATTATTAATACATAATAGTCTTACATCATTCACATTTATCTTTTCTTACAAAGATAATATTTGAGTATCTGATTGCACAACTAGTCGTTTTAATTAATTCATCGTTGATAACGTCTAAAGTGACACGTCTAAAATGGGTTACGAAACACACTTGTTAGATTTCTGCGAGAAGATTGAATTTTTTATACAAAGATGCGCGATCCGACAGGCAAGAAAAAAAATTGAATTTTTATATTAAAAGAGATAACAAGAGTCACGCTTTGTTTTCCTTGGCGATTGGCACCGGTTAATTGGATAGCCGGATACATTATACGCCTCTCGCAAATAAAGGACAAACCGGCCTTCCTCCAGCAAAATGAGGCGAGACTTCTCGGCTTCAGGTAACAAATGATTGAGTGCGTAACTTGTTACCGAAGTATCGTGAATAAAAGAACTAATTTTTATTGCTTTGCGAGAAAGTTGTTGCACTTGCGATTTTGTTACAAAAAATAAAATAAAATATTTAATTTCGCGCACGACGCGAGATCAGAATTTTTATCCGTTATAAAGTAAGTAGATAACAAATTGTACTAGAATAAATTATTATTTTTTTTATAAAACTGGATAAAAAAAATTTTGCGGTAATTCAATAAATCTCGGTTTCTCAAACTCTATATAAAACATCGTAACTACACGGGATTCGTCTCGTCGGCTAGACAGAGATCCCATCGATGCTTGCTCGCTCGAATAACGCATTCAACATAGGCGCGCGTGAACGTTTATGTCGCCAAGACGAGAAAAGCAACACGCCGCGGTCGCTTTACCTGCTCGCTTACTTTCTGTCTCGCCGTACAAAGATCCTTAGAGACTTCTTTTGTATAAAGTACATTATAAAATAAAATAAATCTTCTTTGTATAAAATTAAAAACAGTTTGAGTTTAGATTTTTAAATAAATTCAATGTTGTGCGTGTACTTGTCACCTTTTTTATCATTTTGTTTTTGAAAAGATAAGTTTGAGATATTACACCAGAACTTACACCAGAAATATGTCGATTGACACACATGTTATTTTTCATTTGTATTATAAATACAATTATTTTATAGCACAAATAAGAAAGTAAATTGCTCATTTGATTAAATTACCCTTATTTGGTTCAGTCGTTTAATGCAATTTAGGAGAAATGTTGATTTTGTTTGAAATGCGTTTATGAATTTCGTTTCTTTTTGTCACACGAATAACTAGATATATAAATTATATTCAAATTATCATTTATGACACACATAGAGAAAAAGAATAAAATACAATTTCTTCAAATATCAATTCTTCAAAATTTTCGAATTCGTGGTGATTATCGCGTTAAATACAGCAAATTGATTTAATCAACTTGCGAAGAACACAAAAAATTTATTAAACTTATTAACGCGATAAATTCTGAAGTTTTGAAGATTTTGAAAATTAAACCACTTTGAATTATTTGAAACTTACATGTATATTGACGTTAGTAAATTTTAAATTCTATTCCGATCCTCGTTGAAGCGCGCGCGATCGTTGGAACGATCTCTCGTTTGTGTTCGAGACCCAACCATGAAAGAACCATCTCGTTGTGTTTCCCTCGTAGATGGACGGTCGACGTGGTTCGGCTGTTCCCGGCTGTTCCCGGCTGTGTTCGGTCGACAGGCCTCCTGGTCGACCCCGGACGACCCATGGCGATGGTAGCACACAACTGGTTGTGGCTTTCACGAGGCAGACACGCCGCGCGCTCTCCATGAACACGTTCCGCTCCGCTCTCACCATTCCGTGCCGTTTCGTTTCATCGATTTCCGTCGTACGCGCGCGTCGTATTACTCGCGCGACGCGCGGCGAGGCGTATCGTAAAACCGAGACAGTTTCTTAAAGCGCGTGTTCTCCTCGTGTGGGAGTGTCCCTCGGTCGCGCATCACACGCACCGCGTGTATCACGCGAGCTGTCAAAGGGAGTTCCTTCAGAAGAGCGGCCGATGAGTTTCGCGCGCCGCACGCTCGCGTAAGAAAATAAAAAAAAAAAAAAAAAATAAAAAAAAAAAGAGCCGCGCGTTCTCCGTGTTGGCGCTCTCGGTGTTATCACGTGAATCCGCGGGATTTGCGAAGTCGCGCGAAATATGAACGACGCCTAACGATTATTTTGCCGGTAGTGCGGATGTAGTCGCGTTGTCGTCGTCGTCGTCGTCGTCGTCGGTGTAAATATACGCGAGTCGCAGACGTCACGTGGCGGCCACGATGCTCTGGAAACTGGCGTTGCTTCTGATCGCCGTGCAACCGGCCATAAGTCACTTCAATCTATTTCTCAGTTACATGGAGGTCCGCAAGTTAATGGGTATGTTAAAAGTTATTTGTCACTCCTTTGTAAGACTTATAAAAGACTCGCACACGCACACACACGACAATGGAGTAAATTCGAGAATCTTGTTGATAGATAGCTCGGCTACTTATTTGGGTTATTGTCCTATTACGTCGTTTAGTATGCAGTATATGATGCGATAAAGAGATAGAAAGAAGAGAGAGAGAGAGAAAGAGAGATAGATAGAAAGTAAAAGAGAGAGACATACGATAATCGTTGTTTTCGCTATCTTTTGTCGAACTTATTTTGTGCACGCGATAAACAAATTAATACATATTGAGCAAATCTAAATGCAATGTGTCGCGAATATTAAATAGCAAACTTTCGGCGCAACCCCGCGTTGCAACACGAAAATAAATTGAATTGCTATTTTGTGCGACAAATGAAAAAACAAATTGCGTAATGACAATACATTCATGCGCTCTTTTCTGCATTCAGTTTCTTTCAACGCGCAGCTCCGAACGTACATCTCGTGCCGTCTGAGATAGTGGTATCTAACAAAAGAATGGAGAAAAAAAGACAATCGCGCCACTGTTTCGCGCGTGAGACGCGGTTCAAGACGCTCCGAACTCTTAACGAAGTACAAGTTGATTTAAAATAAACTTTACGAATGTTTTATCGCACTACACTCTTGAAATGAGTGTGTCTTGAGAGTGAAACACATTGTGTACAAATCTCTTGTAGCGTTTGATTGCGATAAAATATTACATTTATACGCGGCGCACACACGCACACACACGACGAAACGTCATGACGTAAACAGCTACATTTATTCTTTAACACGTACATAATAATCTGTTTGCTGCTCATCTTGCGCAATCTGTTTATTTGTTCCAACATTTGACGCTCGAACTAAATAATACGACGCGAGTAAAATTTATAAAATATTTTGTAAATTAATTTGCGAGCGTATAAAAATGTTGCGTATTACATTTTTGCAAAACGCAAACTAGTTTTTTTGCGAGTTTCGAAAATCGAAAGAAGTTTGCGATTGATAAAATGCTCCATATGCGACGGAATTTCGCATCTAAACATATGAAAGAAGAAAAGCGAAAAGTACAGGTTTTAGACGCGTGACTTGATGTGTCAAATAAATACAGTGCAGTTTGCATGTAATGACACCACTCTCTTCCGAGATATTACGTGTTAATCATATTTCTCCAACGCGAGAACACGAAAATCTCTCGTACCTCATTCGTACGCACGTACTCTCCCCTCGGTTGCTCCGATAATGACGACAAGGTAACGAAAACCGGTATAATTTCAAGTACAAATCCGGTTAGGGATACGAAACGAGAACAGGAAAATTGACCGTCACGCGTATCTCCGTATCGGAATTCCCTTTTAAAGAACGATCAGTTTTCCACTTTGCGACTATTCTCGACACAATCACGCGTAATTATCAGATAAGACCTGCTAACGGCCTGTTATCGATGGTGATTTAACACAAACGAGTCAGGAGTGTTGTAACAAGATGATAAAACAACGAGAACAACAGAAGGTAAAAAAAAGTTTGGGGATTTTTTTTATGTAACTCTCACGCGTTACAATCGAGAATCGAAATCTATCATTCAAAAAAAAAAAAAAAAAAATCGATCATCGAAACTGCTGTTTCTATTCGCGAAAAGCGGAGCGATATATAAAAACTCGCTAGCTGCGTGCTGCAATTGAGTGTCGGACGTTAAGTAATCGTCTATGTCAGCGGCTTGTAAAAGCCCGCGTTTAAATCCCGAACTACACGGTGAACAATCGCTATCCCTCCCCATTTGTGTTGCGCGTTGCATTTACGCACACTGCAACTGAAACACCGTGTTTGCGCGTCGTGTAATACGTAATCTCATCGCTGCCAATGTTGTTGTCCGAAGACAAAACGTCAAAATAATGAAATGTCAAAACTTCGACGAAGATACATCGTGATTGTTCACGCACCCTCTTCGTGAAATTGTTCGATTTGTCATTCCGAAAGAGTTCGGAGTCTTTACGAAAGTTTTATTTGTGTCTTCTTGGTTTTTTTTTTTTTTAATCGTAAAAGATAACACGATGAACGTTCGGAGTAAATTTTGCACAGACACGCATCCTCGCGTGCGTAATTCTGTAAATTCCATATATCAAACTCGTTATTATTCTCTATTCTTTCAATTTAATCGTACGGAAGTAACTAGCGAGAGCCAAATTTATTGCTCAAATTTTCTCACGCTTTCGATCGTGTCTTTTATCGACTACCGAGTAGTTTCATTTTTGCGAATCACATTAGAAATCATTGTCGTTCGCACATGCGGACCGGCGCATACGAATTGCCACGCCAGAAATGAATAAAAGCTACTCGGCAACAATCTTCCGCGCGGTGGCGGAAGCTTTCCAATATTTTCTCGATAACTTCCACGACCGGGGATAATTCGTTTTCGGATCGTTGGACCGCGAAAAGCATTCGCCTCGTTGCCTCTGATCGTAGGGCGCGAAGAGGAAGACACGGGAGAGCGAAAGAGAGAGATAGAGAGAGAGAGAGAACAGGAGATATCCTGCGACATCCGAACCCGCTCGGGACCGTAAACCCTTGCGAGGACAGAGAGAGAGAGAAGTGCGTTCGCGCGTGGGATTGCGCATTTCGCCTCTCTCGATTGGCGTGTCTCGGACACATTCGCGCACATCCCAAGTCATCGATTACACGAGAGAAACGTGTGAATTGTGATTTTATCGCACGCAAGCTGAACAAATGTGACACGCGTTGCGAATTCGCATGTGGCGTCGTTGTCGAATTCGATAAATGAAATAAGTAACAAGAATATCTGAATTATCTTGTTTTTTTTTTTTTTTTTTTAACTATATTAAGAGAGAAGTAATAAAATACCAGTAAGAGCCGAGCGTGCGGATGTATACGTACGAAATATTATATAACGTGAAAAATTAAAATATTATAATGCGTAGTTAATAAATTAATACATTTTAATTAAATTCAACTCAGAAATTTATATCGGATTATGTTTGTTCCAATTTTTATACGTATATATATATATTATAGAAATAATCTCTTTTATCTTCCTGCGCGAATTATCCTTTTTCTTTTGCTCAGAAAATGTGTGTTATTTGATAAACCTAAGATTGTCGGATAATTTCAGTGTTATTTTGCATTAAACACAGTGCCGCAGCGACATCGAGTAAAATTGCGTAACAGTGTAATATCCTCGGTGAGAAAAATTCGCACAACAGTACAAGCAATACCGCAAGGCAAATGTCCTTATGCGCGCACATACACGTGCGGCCGCACGTATTATACCGTTTTCACTTCGATAATTTATTACAACACGAATGGGGCGCATCGAAGGTGCGATCGTTGAGCGTTTTAAATCACACAAATGATGCGTAGTAATTAAAGATAAAGATTTACGACCGCGCGTACCGTGAAATTACATGGTTGCGAGTGGCCGTACTTTTCATTGCAGCTTTGTGTGTAACCTGTCACAATAACATTATTAATCTCATTGTCGCCCGTGGCACATCGTGATACAACGGATAAAGTGGAATTGATTGAATTATCAAGGAAATGTTAAAGGTGGCTGCGCGCGTATAAATTATATATCACACACGAGCGATAATATTAAGACGTTGCGTAACCTTTTCTTATTTATTTATATATTATTACCTTTTCTTATTTATTTATATATTATTACCTTTTCTTATTTATTTATATATTATTTTATACATTTAATTCCCTTCCACAAACAGCGCTTCTTCTTATTTTCTATCTACCGCTGCAAAAAAGCTGTAGAAAAAATAACGTATTTTCGAGTTCTCAAAAACTTTTCTCCGCATAATAAATAAACAAAAACAATATAAAAGACGCAGCAGCATCGACTTATGAAAAACCGGTTGAGAAATCTCAAAATGGCAACACTTACAAACAGAGCAAAAGAAACAACTCCGTTTTTTTAAACGACAAAAATATGTACATCGCTGATGTATATCGAAACGTGCGTGAACGGCAGTTTTGCGCGCGCGGCGCAGCAAATACTAATAGAATCGGCGAGGAAATACAGCGTGACGTACCAATTTAGCGTAAATAGGTATTAATAGACGTTCCAGCCGGGTGGAGTCGCATTCTCGGAGTTTCGCGCGCGGCAAATCCCCGCTGAGAGTTCGATCGCGGCGATGTTTGAAACTTGCATGTATCTTGTACGAAACCTACCGCGCCGAAGGCAATCGAAGTGACTCTCCAAAGAGCGGAGAATATATATATATATATGTGTGTGCGCACTCTCGTCAATGTACATATATACATACGTGTGTATCTGTACATATGTGAGTCTCGACTGACAGCGCGATAAGTCACTGCACTGCAGTTCGGCGTTTTCAATCATGTCATGGTTTCGTGTCGATCACGAGAATGTCGAGACCCCTCATCGCGGGACGTGTAGATATTTCTTTCCGCACGAAACACACACGCACACACAGCGGAAATTTCTACGTTCACATGACTGCGCGAAAGCGCTATCCTCGATCGTTCGACCAGGAATGGATGGAAACCACTTGCGGCGCGCATCATAATATACGAGATGCGTAATAAAATATTATAACGAGGTCCTTGTTAAGCGACGGGAGGTGAGCGCAGACCCCGAGCCGCAGGACCGGCTCTAGTTTGTTTAGACACCGAATAATCGACAGTCACTTCTCTTCGTTTTACTCCCGCGAAGAACTGGTCCTTCTCTCTCTCTCTCTCTCTTTCTTTCTTTTTTCTTCCCTCCCGCTACTTTGCGTCTTTTTTTTTCTTACCTTTCCCTTTTTATCGCGTTCTCGTTTGGTTCCCGGGAGTAAAGGGGCCCGGTTCTCGGATGCTCCCATCGATATGTACAACCGATATTCGCTCGGAAAGATCGCCGCGCAGCCCATATGGACCTCATCAACCTTGAACACGAAGGTTTCCAATTTCCGTGTTCGCTACGAGGTAGGTTTCCTGCTCTTCCTTCCCGCGATCCCGACCC